TATACGTAGTATAGTATATATATATATATATATAGTATATATATATATATATAAAAGTTTCTAATGCATTTTCTTATAACATTTTTTGTTAATTACAGGAAGAAGGTTGGTTAATGGGTATCAAAGAAGGCACCAATGAAAAGGGTATGTTTCCGGCAAACTTCACGAAACCGCTGTGAGAGCTGTGCTTGACCCGCCATTTACACTCCAACTCACCAGAGACAGCGTATCTTACTTTAAAACGGTTAAAGAGTCGTGCAATTAAGCGGGAGATAAGAGTCGCGCGGTCATGTGAGAATAATAATTACGCGCGACGTGTATAGGTAAAAGCAAACGAAGAGAGAAAAGATAAGTGAAGGGCTGCAGGAAGAGTATGGGGAAGGAGGCGGGAAGAATTCGATAAGATAGTTATGCTGGAGGGTACTGCGGAGAGAATCAATCACCCGAAAGTGCCTTAACCAGCCACTGTCTGTGCCAACATTCACTTTTATTCGTCAAAAAGTATGTGGGATTGACCCTCTTATATCAAACATACGGATACACATCATGAATAATAATCAAACGAAATATTTAAGCGATTAAATAATATATTGTAACACTTATACAATATGAAATACACGCCATGCATACACACGTACTCACGTACACACAACGATATTGCAATATTATATAATATAAAAACGAAATCTATATATTAAATTAATATTATTTTATGAAATTGTACATAGCTCTATATACGATTTAAGAGTATTTTACGAGATAACTTTGTGGCCACTGAAAATTATTGCTAAGAGATTGTATATCTTCAAGTCGAAGAAACACATACGTCACTTGAGAAACCCTCTCCTCTTTTTTAACATTGGGAGGAGCGATCACATAAAATTTTCAAGGTCCAACTACCTGTCTGCATTCGTAAGGTAAGGTTCTACACTATTTACTCGTATATTGTTCGAGAGTCTAGCAATAGCTCCCGTTAAAATCTCGCCACGATTCACATGCCAAATTTTTCAACGACGTAAGAATAGATATCGAAAAAGTGATACGTAAGAGGGTTTAATATTACGATGTATAAATGAGATGAGAGTATAGCTCCTATGTATTTTGTGTATTTATGATTGATAGTTTTTTTCTTGTTCTCCTCCTTTTGGAGCACCGTGAATTTCGTCAGTGAGATTTATTCGTGAATTACTTTACGCAGGTTTTATTCACTTGTAATCCACAACTTTATGTATGTATATGTATGTAGAAAATCGGGTAGCGAACGAGAAGAGCGTTTATTATTATATTGTTTTATTACTATTGTTATTATATATTGCTATAATTATCGCTCCCGTATCTATTCATCATATCAAGATAGAAGAACGAATACGTACGATCCAATCCCAAAACTTTTGTAGACTCGATTAATACTCGTTAGATCTGTCGAAATCTTGTATTCGCATCTTGTGTAATAAATAATGTTGTAATAATATATATTAAAATACGTACATACTTATAACATTAGCATTAAGCATTAAGAAAAAACCAGTTTTTATTTGAAAAATATTGTATGTTTTTCTTTTTTATTTTATCATGCTGGTCAAGAATTGATTTATGCCATTAAATCAATAATTTATTAGAAATTATTAATATCTTATTTTGTTTTAAACAAAATTTTAAATTTCTCCTAGAAAATATTGTAATATTATAAGAAAGAAGAGTCGGAGAAAAAGAAAAGGCAAATGGCAAACGAAATTTTTATCGAGAGAAATATATAAGAATAAATTTAATTAATCTTTTGAAGTTTGCGTTATATGTGCAATAATTATATGTTTATATTTCATCGAAGTATTTGTCAAATATAGAAAGTGATGCATTTAAAGACTAAAAATCAATGTGACAAAAGAAATTCTTTCGTTAATTATGTACTCAATATTTTTTTATGGCATATACACATCCAATATCTTGAAAATTAGAAATATATACATTAAAAAAGATTATGAAAAAGAGAAATATCAATACGAGAGTTAAGAAAGAGAAGGAAATTATATTACATCTGTCTTCTGTCGTCCATGTATTGTGAGAATCCATTGTGGGAATGTCTACCGAATATCGACAAAAAAGCGCCCTCGTCTAAATAGAAATAAAAATGTCGAGAGATGTTACTGACATTACTATTGCAATGAAGATAGACGTAGCAACTGTTTAGACATGCGTATATTGGAAAGGGTAATGAAACGACAGCTTTTCATTTTTCTATCCAGTCTATTGAAATAAGATTATTGTCCTATATAAATACGAAAAATTAAAAAAAATAAGTACATGAATACTTTACATCTAAGTCGGTTTTGATAATCAAAATGTATAAAAAATTCAAAAAAACAATTTTCTTTCATTATTATTGAAACATGAAAATATGAAATAAAAGTGATAAATTATGAAATAATGAAAGTAAACGATAGAACGAGAGAAAATATTTTTTACATCATAAATTAATATTAATCTAATCGCCATAGGAACAAATCATTTTTGATATTAGATAGACGTATATATACATATAAATATGCATGATAAGCCAGAATTTAACGAAAAGGAAATATTTACTTTGTCGAAAAACTTTTAATAGCATGTATGAATCATATGTGTCTGTTTGCAATTTTCTTTCTCAAACCTTGAAGAATGGCATCAACTTTACTATTCTCAATATTCATAGAAGACTATTTTTAGATGGCTTTATTTAGAAAGCTTGAAATAATAGTACAAGGACATGATTGTGATTCATGTGTGCTATTTAAAGATAAATATTTTATATACTAATATATAACACAGTTAAAGGACGACAAAAAGTAGATAAATAAGGCAGAAATAAAGGCTAAAAATTGTTTACAATGGAAATAAAGATGCATTAAGATGGGCGCGTAACTGATCATTTCTTTCTATCTCATTTTTTAATCTTATTCACTGGCATCATCATTGGGAAATGTTGACGATTAAATTACTATATAGTCTACATCAATTACCACAAATTCCTCTACTTTAACAAAACTTATATCGTATGAATGTATAGGGGAAAAGCTAGTTTTTCTTGAAAAAAGAACAAGAAATTTGGCTAAAAATATAAAGTTGATTGGTGTGGATAAGAAATGATCGTAAACGCGATGTTCCGTAAATACACTTTTTACAACTTTAAAAAATTTTATTCAAGATTTATATTGTATTCTGGAATATGCTGTCACTATTATGGGTTTCGTGAAGCCCCGCGTGTTAAACTTAATCTTCTTGTCGTACAATAGCAATTTTTTGTGACATGCGTTTTTACTGATTCATAAAAAGAACGCACATGATGAAATACGCACAGAAAAGATACGTTACATTTGCATTATTTGGAAAAATGTTTATTTACGTTTCATTGCATAATTTTGCACGGAATGACATTTAATTCGATGTTTACATTATGTTGCGTAGGAAGTTATTAATAAAATTAACATATTTTTTTCAACATCGCGACTTTTTTAATGTAAAAAATTGAATGAAAACTTAAAGCGGAATAATCAATGAGACGAATAGCCGTTTTAAGAATTCTATGGCAGATAAAAATTAAATTTTTATTTCGATATCGCGCGATGAAAATAGCAAGGAAGCGAGAAGAAAATATCACCGCAAAGAGAAAAAAAGAATTATCCAAGAGGCAAGGCATAAAAGACAGAATTAAACAAGTTATAATATCAATGTGATAGTAAAGTAGAAAGACAATATGAGAAAAGACGAATTTAAATTCGTCTTTTTTTCATTTTTTTTCAAATTCCTGCAGAAACGCGATAAGTCGATGTTAGGAAAACGCAAACATTTTAAGATCGTGTTTTTTCCTAAATGAGAAAAAACATTTTTTTGCCAAAAACAGCTTAAGGTTTGTTTGGAGTGCATAGGGAATGATCGAGGAAAATTTTCGCGTTTTGCCCGTATCGTATAAACCCGCCGTTCCACGTGACACGGTTTTTCCTCCCCGAGGTTCTCGGGGCGGTTCAATCGGTAAAACAAAGAGCGCGATAACCGGCAGACGTCCGCAGCGCCGCGAATCGTCGGCGCCGTTACGTTCTCCGTGCCTCCTCCCCGGCGGGTGGCGGCCGCGCCTCCTCCTACTCGCCGATTTTAATCTCGTTAGCGGACACGTGCGCGCCCCCCGCGCCCTACGGTGCTGGTGATACGCAGGCAGCCAGCCACGAGCGAACCGAGAGCTGGCCGTGGGTGCCGTGTCGCGGGGCTTCGCCAATCTGGTTTGATCTAATAAGATTCGCGGCTCGCGAGACGCTTCATAAAAGCTGCGCGCCGGACGGGCGCGGCGCGTGTCGCAAGGAGTTGCTCCGCTCGAGAGGTGTGGGCGCTCGTGCAGCAGCAGCAGCAGCAGCAGCCAGCAGCTAGCAGCAGCAGCCAACAGCAGGAGCAGCCAGCAGCAGGCGGTAGTAACATAGACAGAGAAAGAGTGATAGATTGGTAAAAGGAGAGAGAAGACAGAGAAGGACGAATCATCGTGGTGAACTCTCTTTCTCTCTCGCGGCGATTCGACACGTCGTCATTCGCCGTTAACGTGAGACCACGCGCGTCGTCGTATGCCGCGCTCGTCTCGTGGTGTCCCCGTGGTGTCGTGTTCTCGTGTCATTCGGTGCGTCGGAGTAGCAGCGGCGGCAGCAACAACATTGGTATCGCCGTCATCATTATCAAGCAGCAATAGCGGCGACAACAGCAGCGACAGCTTTTCGCGTGTTCCACAGAGAGCGCGACAGAGAAAGAAAAGCGGACTCGCGCGAGCGAGACAGAGGAAGCGAACGTGCGAGCAGGAGAGAGGGAGAGAGAAGAAGAGGAGAGCGAGAGCGCGAGAACGTGCGGAGCGAGAGAGAGAGGGATAGACGGCGAGTGAGTGAGAAGAGGGAGACGGAGCGCCGGTGGGTTACCACACCCAACACCGCGCGAGCCGGGGAGCCGATTGCCGAACGTCGCCGCTACGCCGCTCTCGAGAGAGAGAGCTCTCTCTGGCCGCGCCGTGCGTGTAGTACTACGCGGGTGAACGCGCGCGATCACTCAGGACTACGGTCATCCGGGTGGTGTCACCGGTGGTGATTCCGTGGAGCGCGCCGGGATAGGAACAGCAAGACGGAGACAACAGTCAGAGCGAGAAAGAGAGAGAGTGAACGTGAGGGGAGGACCCGTGAAGAGGGAGTGAAGAAGTGCGCGGAAAGAAAGAAAGAGAGAGAAAGAGAGAGAGAGAGAGGAGGGGAGACGGACGGAAGGAAGGAAGGAGG